GGTCAAACCTATGGTACCATCTTATGTCCCCCTCGAAACCATACAACTTTTGTCTGAAACATTTTTTCATACCTCTTTTAGTTTTTTAAAAAATCGACTGTATAAATTAAAATGGCCCACCCTGTATATATATACATATATATATGTAAATGCATCGGTATTGCAACGAGCGCTTACCAAAAGGTTATGATATGTATGAAAATTAAAATGAGAATAGTTTTGCTCTAAAAAAAGCTGCTTATTATGTGATGCGAAATTTTCGATGCCTACTGTTATCTAGGTCAAATTGTAAAAAGTCGAAATTCGTCTGTTAAAAAAGAAATGTTTCATTGAACAAGATACGAAATTGAAATATTTATCAATTTTATATATTATATATCGATATTTTGTAATTAATATGTATATAAGTTATTTTGATCTGATCGACGAGGAAGAAATGTTTACATATCTGCGCTCTTAGCACGTTTCATTCCTACACTGTATACCGTATTTAAAGACTCACTGATAAACAGCCCACATAAATTGATACGTTCACGCAACAATATATTCCTGTAACGATATAACGCAAGAAAGAAATAAACAGGTACGCAAAATGTTTTCATAGGTGAGACATATTTTTTCGGTTTATTAAGCACTTGACTGCAATATCCAAGGAAGTATGCTCAAGTATGAAAAGATTCTGTTCCTATAATGTTCGAAAATTTCATTTAACAAATTTATTTAATATATATCTATCCGTCAGCGAATTAATTGTGCGTTAATATCATCAAATTTTCGTATATAAATTTGTTATATACATATATGTATATGTATATACATCCACCAGCAATGTCTAAGAAAGTATGCTCAAGTATGAAAAGATCCTGTTCCTATGTTCGAAAATTTTACTTGACAAATTCTTTCTCTATTTAGAATTAATTACGATCAATTATAATTTCTTTATTTAATATGTACATATATATATATATGTATGTATATCCGGCAGCGAATTGATTCTGCGTTAATATCAAATTTCTTTATATATAATATATTTTTATATACATATATATGTATGTATATATCCGTCGGCAATATCTAAGGAAGCAAGTATGAAAAGATCCTCTTCCTATGTTTGAAAATTTTACTTGACAAATTCTTTATTTAATATACATATTTTTTATATACATATATACGTATGCATATCCGTCAGCGAATTGATTCTGCGTTAATATCATAAGTAAATTGTAACTTTTAAGTTAAAAACTATCCAAGATTTTCGCCGTCAAGTGTTAATACCGATATTCAAAACCGGATCCGGTTTTTCAAGCAGAGCCGAACGTGGTGAATGCGGAGACCACGTCGATCGTGTGTCACGGCGCGTATCCGCGAAACTTGAGGCGGGCCGTCGGGGGTGTCGGCGGCGGTGCAGCGCCGTGACACGACGTGAAAAGCAGGACCGTGGGGCAACAACGGCGCGACGGCGAAACGCGATGATGATCGGAAAGTAGGACACGGCCCACGGCGAAAGCAACCGGGCCGCGCGCCTCCGAGCCACGGATGAGAGTTCGCCCCCGGAGTCGGAGACCATCGATCCCGCTACTTGCGGGGGTTGTAAGGTCGTTAAACTCCCCCGGTCTCCACCTGCACGTATCTCTCGCCGCATCGTGCACTTCCCCCGTATTATTCCTATTGATGTACCATCAGGAAAGGGAACTCGCGACGCGGCGATCCACGCGAGCGACGACGCTCCAATTTCGCGCGATCGCGATCCCATCGGTTTATTGTCGTCGTCGTCGTCGTCGTCGTCACTGCGGCGGTTCGTTTCAACTGGGTTGTCCGTTGCTACGCGGCGACGGATGGCTTTCGCTACGCGATACCCGACGAGGCGCTTTAACAAGGAATATCTTTCAGTCCGCGATATTTGCCGTTTATAATTTCAGAAAAAAAAAGCTTCTCATCTCTGTAATCATCCTGCATATCGGTATACATTGCGAACGCGATTCTCCACGTTTTGATGACGACAAATCGACTGCTCCCCCACAAGTGGACTCATTGCGACGCGAAATTGTTTGCCGTAATGAATCGAAAATGGTTCCTCCACGGGCGCCTCTCGTCGAAACGATAACGTTTGCGCAGCTATCCATCTCGAAGGCGGCGGCCTGCCGGCCTGCTGGCCGAAGGGACGTTCGCCCGTGGAGGCTAACGAAGAAATAGCGAGATCCAATTTCCGAGTGCTTATCGGTACAACATGTGATTGAAGTACACGGGGATTAAGGGTGGTAGGCCTGACTGGCATCAGGTCGATAAGCCGTCCACCCCTTAAGGTTCAGAAAGTCGGTGGCCTGTGCACGGCGAGGGTGCACGAGCGGGTTGGTAGGGTGAGGCGACGGGGGGAGGGGGAGGGGGGGAAGAGGGTGAGAACGGGAGAGAGAAAGGGCACGTACCCCGCGTGCCGCGGTTACGGCCGGCACGACATCGGCAATGCGGCAGCCGACGGCCGTTTTAATGTCGCTCTATACGTCGGCCAGTCGTTGCACCTGGCACCATTCGCCGCTTGGCGAACGCAGGTGGTGGTACGAGGGGGTGGCGGCGGCGGCGGCGGCAGCGGCAATATTAAGGACGCGGCCGCGCTCGTCGGGCCGCGTAACACGGTTTTACCAGATTGGGCACACACGGGCGAGAGATATCGATGGCCCGCGCCAACGTAGATAAAGACCGATGGTGAACGATCGTTACGCGCGTTATCTCGAACCCCGTACGTGCTACTTCAACCGGGGAGAGTTACGATAGCGAGGCCGCGATAAGGCCAAGTCGGAAGCCCCGTCTCTCCGAAGGACGCAGGTGAATCCGGTTCTTCCCCGGGCTGTACGTTTCCATATTACGCTTCGCCCTCGCGGGACTTTTCGACCGAGTACCGCGGGTATCAATCAACTCGTCTCGGCTGACAGAAATTTTGCCAACGGCGAGATCGTATACTTGGTTGTCCCTGATCCAATCTCTTCTCCGTCCGCGCGGGTATTGCTCAGGTAAATTAAGTCGCCGATCGCGTTATTAATCGACGTTTGATCGAAGTCGTCGCTTAATGCGACCTAACTCGCGCGAATTT